GCTACTACTGCTACTACCACCACCAATACTACTAAGGTGGTTGGGGTGATGTCACGTTGCAACTCTCTTCAACAAATATACGACCTATCAAGCCGACGGCCACCACTAGCAGCAGCAAAGACAGCGGCCACTGGCAGAAGAAGTGAGTAAAATACGCACAGCTTCCTGCCAGTGAAAGTTCTTATCTGTAATGACAGTCCCAGAGTAAACGTTCGGATCCTGGAGCGCTGCAAAACTTGTGACGTGCCAGGGTGTTTGCCCTTCAGGTTTCACGTGATAGGGTGCGGGACTTGGGAGTGAGGAGAGCGCCGCAAACCGTAACATCCGAAAGAATAATCTCAGCGCCAGCTTCCATCTTCACACCACTTCGGAAGGCGTACTTCGAAGGCACCACCTTCAGCTGTGCGATGATGTTGCTGACAGCGGAGTCGGCAGATTCGGGATGGGGACGGGGTGGAACTCGCCCTTGCGGATTCTGATTATTTTGAGAATACGCATGATCTTGCAAAGACTGGTCTCAGCAATAGTATGAAGGATAAGTGATTGTTGCTCTAGGCCTGACAATCGAAGCAGGAAGCCAGCAGCGCCAGCAGCCGTGCAGCAGCAGCAGCAGCAGCANNCAGCACCAGCCCCACCACCAGCACCACCACAATAGTCACCACTTCGAAAACCTAATCGTCCTCATGGTCGTCATGACCATCCTCACCTGAAATAGCCGAGACCCCAAGCATGGAGACCGCAATCCCCAAGGAAATTTGCGCCCTGCCCCTGAGCCCCAGGCGTAGAAAAGCCAACGCATCATCCACGGAACCTGTTTCACAGGGTCGAAAGAACACATACGAAGGTCGACTTGGCCCGGGCTCCTTGTGCAGCATCCGGTGCCCGCTCGATTTTTCCGGATGTGCTGCAATGGCTCAGGCCTTCACCTTTGTCTGGTGCAACCACCAAAAACAAACCTCTCCAGCCATCCTCAGCCCAGCCCGACTGTTCCCAAATTGACTCCTACTCTGACAAAGCTTCCGAGAAAACTCAACGAACTGGGTTTGTCGATTCGCAGGATTGAGGGTGCGGAGCTTTGTCGCGGAGTTGCAAGGCGTGGCGCTTGTGTTGTTTGTCCTGACTAGTCGCGGCTCGGGCCCAGGGTCGTAGGCTCCAGAATCCTGACGGGCCTCCCCCTCGTGGGCCAGCAGGGTGCCGTCGAAGATCATGTTCAAGATCCTTCGTTCTGACGCGCGCAGCGCAAACCCACGTCCCCGTAGCCAGCCCAAAGCGAACTGCTGGGGATGTCGGACCGCAACCCGTGGAGGAGAATCTGTCTTGGCCGAGGCCTGGCACCCTGTAGCACCTGCATAGCTGTGGGCCTGGGTCCCTTTTGCACAGAAGCCAACGTGCAGATCCACCGACCTGGTCTTTGGGGCTCCCGACGTTTGCATGAGAAAAACCATGATGCCCAGCGCACTTCCCGTTCCAAGGCTGCCTCCGATGACTTGAGACTTGAGATGTCGGGATAGCAGTGTTTGGGCTGAGGTCGTCTGCCAGGGTCTACCGGTTGTATAGGTTCGGGCTGTAGCTGCTAAAGTTTGAAGTTGGCCTTGGACTGAAAACTCAGTTTACCAAAAAGCGGATGAACCGGTGAGATCGATGGGGCTGCATTTTCTGGATGCAAGTGTGTGGAAAATCAGAGTTCAGAGCTCCGCGGGTGAGACTGAGAGCAATGTCCGGAACCCAACACCACCCCAATGAAAACCACCGTAGCTTCTGTACCTCCATGACCCTGCGATTCTACATGCTGAGCGGTCCCTTGTAAAGGCAATACGACACCGAGGAAGTTGGGCTATTTTCGGTAGCTTTGCCCCCAGTTTTGCGTGGTCAAGGGTAGGTAGGCCTGCACATCATTAGCTGTTGAAGAGGATTAGATGGTGCCAAAAGAGAGCGGTCGCCAAAACATGAAAGTGCATATCACGCGAATCCAACTTGGGGCTTCTTGATTGGTGGCCCCCACAAGCAAACTTCAAAAATGCCCCAAATCCTCGAAAGACAAGACATCCCCGAAAGCACGATGGGCACCGCAAAGCTGCGCAAAGGTGTCGTTGAAGCCAATGTACGCAGCCTCCGTTGCAAGCCTACTTGCTTCACCTCATCTCGATAAGTAGAGGCTCGACTCGAGCGGCTGGACTGTCCCCGGCTATAAGGCTGCACTTATGAAGTTTGGCGGAGGAATGTTGCTGAAACACCGGTTTGCAGCCTTGGGGGCTTTGTGATTAAAGGCAGAATGAGCCACGCCTTACTCAGATGAATCCCCACTTTCATCTTTGGAGGCATGGGGGCAGTGAGCTGTCTGGTGCTATTCTGACTTAATGCCACGAACCATCCGCCATACGAGCTCCAGGCCAAGAGTAACCACAGCTCTGGCGTGTGAATCACCGGCGTGTCCTGGAATAGGTTCCACGCAACACCGAGTGACCGGGACTTTCCCCAGACCCCACGCAAGAAGTCACAAACAGGCACCTAAAAGCCGACTACCACATGTTCGTTTTGTCTAGAAGGATCCAACCGGTTTCTGGAAGGCCGCTATCAACAAGCCCATTGCCCTTTGAGCTCGTTCTGAGATTGCCAGCCAGGCATGCGTGCACACACACACACACATAGAACTCCGAACGCTGAGTTGCAAACTACACGGGAAATCCGACACCTTGCACTTTGGCCAAGTCCGAATCACGGGGCTGCCGTGTCTAGTTGATCCATTACGAGGACAAGGTCGAAGTATGCTCCACCACTACATGCCGCAGCATTTTGCTACTTATGGACAGGCCTTACGATGAGAAGCAAACCCACCTCTGTAGCAACGCATGTTACAACTCACACAGCATTCCCCCTCCAGGATAAGACTGGAGGGCGCAATGGCTGAAGCAGCGAGCAAGAACCAAATGGGCACGTTGACCTGAAGCGGAGGGGCTTAAACTCACAATCCAAGGGCCTTTAACCTTTGCAAGTCCCAACGGGTCGCCGTATAAGTTGTAACAGTTACAATGTAACCAGCAACATACAAGGCTGAGGCTACCAGCAAAGACATTGTCTCTCCCATTCTGACTGCAGCTTTCTCGGAGACAGAGTTAGGGTGTATTCCTCGGAAGAGCTCTGCAAACAGCTTGACATGATTTGCCGTCTCGGGCGCGGGCTTATCTGCCGGCAACATTATGAACCATATGCAGAGTGGAGGGTCTCTACTACACCCAGAACCGCGCCGCGGACTGGAAATGCTACGCCCTTCACCCCCGAATCCGAGATCTCCACCAGCATGTCTGCCAGAAGATGCGACAGGGGATGGTAGAGGCCATTCTTCACCTCCCGCCGGGGTTCTTCATTGCATCAACAAGCTTTGCGCGTGCACGGGTGCCCAGTTACACGACTCTGCACTCAACCTTGGAGAAGCTTTAAGCAAAACTACGACGAACACCCTGCTCCAACCCTTAAACCTGAAACCCCGGGCTGTGCAATGAAGATTAAATGCTTCAGTTGTTCCCTTGTCGCGGCTTTGAGTTGCGGTTAAGATGCAAAACCTGCTTGTGCTTAAGACGGTTTTAAGACTGCTTGCTTAAACTTTGAACCCGAACAGCTCAACCCGATTCCTTTTCCTTTGTCTTGGCCTCAGCAGGTACGGACTCGATTTCAGCCCAGCGGATGCCCCACTCGTCAGGCAAGGCGGCTTCTGAATGCAAGTGCTGCTTCTCCAGCAGATGCTACCCGCTGAAACAAAACCTCTTCAAGGAAGTCCTCCTACAGGTCCGAGTGACGGGTGCACATGCAAGCTTGACACCGGCCTCAACAGCTAGACTGAGGTTGTGGGGAGTACCATCAGGATCCACTTACAAGAGAAACTTCGGCACCTCTCGTCGGATTGAATTTACTTCAGCATGGGCTCCGTAGTCCGCTGGCATCGCTTGGAGAAGTGCCACATGCCAGCAAGTGAACTTCGTTGAAAGCTCAGGTGCCACTGAACCGAATTCATGCAAGGACGAAGTAGCAGTCCCACTAACACCACAACTACACGCGTTTGATGACAACGAGTGTGCCAAGTGTACCAATGCTTTCACTCTTCCGTTTGTCTGTTGAAATTGGAAGTCTATGCAAGAGATAGGAAGGCAGGAGGCTACTCATGGACTGCCGCAGGCTCTGCCCTGCGCATCCTTCGCGCTTTTGAACTATATCTACAGGGCCAGGGTGCACAAGCTAGGCCATGCAGCCCAGGCAGCGTCGCAAATACACCGCTTTTGCTTTTCAACTGGCGCACCACGCCCCCCAGGCACATGTAGGTCTTGCAGCGGCAGCATCAGTGATACGAAAAGAGACAACACGCATATGTGCTGCCAGAGCCAGGTGCCGGGCTTCACGACACCCACCAAATCTTGAATCCTTCGAAACCCTTCCCGGGAACACAAGGCAACATAACGCATTGGCCTCAACTACAGCTCGAGGCGAAAGAAAGTCGCAGAATCGCACAAATCAGCTTAAAGACCAGGCGCTGGCAGAGATACATGAGGAAAGGAGACGGGGCTAGTGCCAGAATACAGCGGCTAAAAGCAAGAGACCCCCGTTGCCGGCCCCTGGCTTTGAGTCTCGGCGTTTCGGCTTAGGTGCCCTGGTCAGCGTTGGGGTCCTGAGGAGGTCAAGGCAGTGTCAGCTGAGTCTTCAGCCTAAGGTTGTGCACTCGGGACACGTTGGACAGCTCAAAGCTTTCTGGCTTGTGTAGTTACGGCTCTGGAGCCGCACTTGCGAAGGTACTCTCCCATCTTGCATGGTGGGCCTTTGAACTACGACGGCTTCGGTTTGGGATGCAAACAGCCAATTTTAACCCCATCGCAAGAAGGGGGCAGAGCAGGTCCCAACTTTGAGTGCTGGTGCTTCGAAGTGGGGAAAGGAGATGAGGGCTCCTGGATGACGATCAGAATGTACTCTCGGTCTGGCGCCACCATAATCTCCTCGGCACGGGTGCATTTACAGCAAAAGGCAACCCCAGGCGGAGCGATCTCCAACAGCAAAGCTGTAGAGGGCCCAGCAACACAACAAACTACTTTATGAGGTCTTTTCCTTTGGCAGCACGCTGTAAGACTGCTGTACAGCAGGAAAGGTCCGGGTGCACAGAACGAACAGCCACAGCCAGCCGGAAGGTCTCCAGGCTTGGGGATTCCATCGCCCGGACTCGCAGAACAGGAAATTCCAAAACAATTTTGTTTTGCATGCCCAAGAGTCCGTCTGAACACCATGCGACCAAAAAACGAGGAGTTAATATGTCCACTATGCAATCCGGTTGTCTTGCAGTGGCGACATTGACTGCCTGCGCTCTTCTGGGCATCCCGCATGCTTCTTCGAACGGATGCGGAGGAAGGTGAGGTCGTTCCTAAGCTTGCACCATCTTGCATCAGTCTAGGGTAAGACTTGGCGCGTGCTTTCGGGCCAATGCAACACGAGCATAGCCAACACATTCACAAACCATTAAGAGATTCCTCAGCCGCATATCTGATCCCAGCCAGTTCCGTCCTTTGGCTGGGGCATGACATAGGAACGAGTTCATTGCGCTCAGAGCGGCAGCTGGCTGCAATGCACCATGCAGGACGGGGCTGCGCAAAAAGGGGAGAGGTTCTCATTGGCACAACACATTGACAGCAGTGCTTCCTAATGCACAAATCGCGGCCCCCAGAAAGTAGAACTAGACTCACTAGATAAAGCTGGAGCACTGGATGCCTCAGCCAATCTACATGTGCACCGCACAAATACTGATCCTCAAAGGAAAACAGTGCCTTGGCACGAAATGCTCCTGACCCCATCTGATCCACCCGCCGCGCTGCATTTCGACTATTCCACTTCGGCCCGAACATCGACTGAGACCTATATAACCCATGCCGTTTTGGCTTATGCTTTAATTTTCTACTGGTTGAACTCCACGCCAGGGTGCATAGGGTCCAGGTCTCGCACCACGCTTCTCGCCTGCTGCGGCTTCTTACGCTCTGGGATTCCACTTCGGGCTTGAGGGTGTCGGGTTCGGTCTATTGAAGTTCAAGGCTAGAGTACAACTTCGGGTCTTCAGAACTGGGCTAGGCACGAGGTAGCGAAGGATTTGGGCTTCAGTTCAATGCTTTGGCGGCTCAGGATTCAAGCTTTGTTTTTCTCTGGGGTTCAGGTTTAATACGCGGCCCGCTGCCCGAGTATAGCCAGCATGGCCATAACTAACACCTAAGAATCAAGGAGCCGTAAACTTGAAGGTCTCGGCGAGATTCAAAGGGCTAGCAAACGGAGTTCTTTCAACGAGACGCTGCTTCAGGACCCATCGGGACCCGCACCAAAAAAACATGTCCTGCCACAACACCACCTCAAACCCAAAGCAAGTGATGCTGCGACAAACTTCCGGCAGTTCCTGCTCCTGCATCACTCTATCCACCTCGTAACCTAAAGGTGCCGCCCGTAGTAGCTCTACACCTTCGAAAACGAAGCTCGGCACGAACACAGAAGTTTCTGAATGATGCGACAAGGCTACGAGGTGCCTTGGCCGCGAGCTGCGAAACCAGTTCGGAATACTGCTCGGTCTGCTTTTTGTCCAAGGTCGAACGGATCGGAACCTTTTATGCAGCGCAGGGCTTGAGTTTTTGGCTCTGACTCTTGTGGCCATGGCTGCATGGAACTCAACATTCCGTTTCAGGAGGCTTGGAGCCCTCGGATGCACCCTCTCGCCGAGCACCCAGCAGACTCAGCATTGACGATGACAATGCCGGAGACCTGAATCCGAAAGCCCAAACCCGCACCTTGAACCCTAAAGCTGAACCTTGGCCGCCCCGAAACGACCAACCCGGGCAAAAGCCAAAGAAATGACCTCACCACTATGAAGCTCTCTCAGCCCGCTACCCCGCGATGGGTCTTGATCCGGTTGAGGGTCTCCTGCACAGCACAAGCTCACCCGTTGCTCTGTCCCACCGGAAAGCCTTCTCTTTTGGAGGGGCGCCGCTACGTTAATGATCTTTGCGGCATCCAGAACATGTAGCAGCGGGCGCAAGTTCCTGGAGTCTCTACTCATCACGGCAGAACCTCGGGCGCCGTGAGCCGTAAACTCGAAACATTGATCCCCTCATGCTCAACACGCCCGAACCACGGGAAACCACTAGCCTGAAGTTCTGCGGCCAGTGCACACACCACACGCTGAGGAATGTCAGCATTTGAACACGTGGCCGTCTGTGAGACTGGCCCCGTAAGCAAACACTTTCCAGGCACTCGGCAAAAATCGAAATCACCCGGAAGATCTCTCAAGCTCTGAGGCTGCCAGATTTGCTGCAGCGACTCATCCCCTGCAGAAGCGAGACTGAAGAACCTCAAGAGCGAAGCTCAACGGATCTAAAGCCTGGGCACACAAAACCACATCAGTGAGCCCCGGTAGCTTCCAGGCCTCGACCTCCGACATATCGCCAGCGCACGCGCGTGGCGAGGAAGGGAGGGCAACACGTCAAGACGTGGGGGGCCGTGCTCCGGGGCAGCGGTTGCGGCGCGGGCGAAGTGGTTCTCAGAGTCTTGAAAGGTCTGCTGAGGGGCCTTTCGGTCGTGCAACATGCCGCACCCTGGAATTTGCAGTCCGATGTGAACCGCAAACCAAGCCGGAACCATGAGGCTGAAAGTGCAAATGATATTCACGGGCTAATCCACGCCTCAACATCAATCTGCTGCCCGCACTGGGCTTGATGCTGGAGCTAAGGATCTAGGTCAAGCGCTAAACGGCTAAGTCAGATCCTGCGGCTCGACTTGACCGTTGGGGGCAGTAGTGCCTTTTACAAATATCCAGGATCATAAGCATCAAATACCCAAAACTCATATCTAAGGCAACAAGACTCCGAAAGCATTGAAGCCCTTTCGACACTAGATGAAGCACTCTGCGCGTTGAGCCTCCTTGCGGAAGCAGCTATGCTCGCGCGCGAAGTTCGGCACAGCGCCGATGCAAAGGAAAGCTGGCAGTTGTTGCACCTTTGCGGAAGCAGGGAACGGAAGCAGCGAAGGAGCCTTCGGCGGACCGGTTGGCTCTGATGCCACAATTGCTGTCACCTCGATGTCGAGAACCATTAGAGCCCCCAGGCCGAATGTAAGGATTGCAAGCCCGGCGCAGCAAATACTAAAATAGTTCTGGAATGCCTACAAGATCAAAAAACGAACAGAAAACCGGTCGTGTTCAGGAAGCAAAAACATCGATTTGAGAGTGAATCTTATTCTTCGAGGCGCGTAAGGTCGTGCTTTTCAGCACATTTCTTGGAATCGGACTTCTGCTATTTCTTTTGGCGGGGTGGAGCGGAGAGGGCCTTGACGTCCTTGATCGTATTGTGCATAACCCAAAGCCTAAAATCGAGCCTGGAACCTGAGCGGGCCTGGGGGTTTAGGCCACAGTTTTGCCTTCCGGACTGGTTTGGGGTAGGCATTCGGGGGCCTTTGGGGTTAAGCCTTGGCTTTGAGCATTGAAAGATACTGAAAGCAATCTACCTATGCAACTTAAAAAGAAAAGCCAACGCGACAAAGTGGGAAACACGCCCAAGCTGTGGCCAGAGCAGGATTTCTTAGATGAAATGGGCGTGAACCCTTTAAACATCAGGAAACACCAAATAAATATTCGACCAAGCTCCTAGCAAAAAAGCTTTTTCGCGAATAGCCGAGTTTTGGCCACGCAAAAGCGTCGCATTGACGAAAAGATGCTTTTGAACGCAAGACCCCTTGAGGGTGCCAACACCTTGCCTTTTAGGGTTCCTCCCTGCTTGGAATCTGGATTGGGTAAACCAAGAAAACAAAGCAGACAGCAGTTCTGAGCAAGTCACATACATCACCGCGCAGTGTCGCTCACAGGTGACTCGCATTTACTTGGACCAGGTGACAAGCAGGGGGACTATCGTCAGCACCGGTGGCTTGCCGAAAACATCGATTTTTCCTCGCTTTACACAGCCTTTGCTAGCGAATATACTCGTACGGTGACTACTCTCACCGTAGTGGATGTTTAGGTTGAAAAAGTGATTCAAAGCTTAAGGATTCGGCTCAAGCATTTCCGCGCTCACAATTCGAGGCTGTTCGGCGTGCTGCGTCCGAGGCAGCTGCCCACATCACCGCCCAAAGATAGTTCAAGACATTCTCCTAGTCGGGTCGGTAGTATCGAAAAGTTCAGGTTGGGGCGGGCACCTTGGAGCTCAGAAGGTGCTTTCGTATTACTTCCCCAGCCCCACATGCCCCACGCACAGAAGTCACGCTTCCGAGTCTCAACTCCCGAGAGGGCCTCAAAACACCAGTGACTCCAGCTCTAGCCACTGTGCTAGCAGTAGGTTGAGCTGATGTGCTCATGAAGGGTGTCCGTGTAGGATGGGCACGCGTTACGACATCCAGAACATCGGCGACTCACTCCAAACTTCCCCTTCTCGCGTCCTGGTTCCGCTTCCGGGCACCGAGATACGCCATGCAGACGAAGCTGACAAGCAAGGCCGTCCTGACAGGAGATTCGAGCCCTAACCACACTTTCACATGACAAGCATTCCCCCTTTACGTAGGCAGCAAGCTGCCGTAATCCACACTGTAGGTACACCCAGGACCTGGGACCTAAGAGAGGGTAGACTCAAGAATCCGAAACCCATCAACTCCTTAACCCAGAACAGACCGAACAGCCTCAGAAAATGCCGAGGGTGCAGAGAAGCACACATCCATCGCTCTGCGTGTCACGGGGCTCTGGCAGCAAAGCTCGTCCAGCAAAGGCCATGGGGTTCCTGGACCAGCGCACAACAAAGCACGACTCCTGACCCTTGAGCTCCTGCACAGCCTCCAAAGGGCACACAACACCCTGTTGGACCGAAGACTTTTTCGAACTTTCGGAACACTGGTGCCAGGCTGCAACGGGCTGGAGCTGACCTGTGGGGCAAAAGACGAGATCTACGTATGCCTGCCTGATGTTGCTCCGAACTGCACGAAGAAAGAGCTTGCCAACCTGAGGAATCCAGTCAAAACAGCACTTAGTTCCTGTGGCCGAGACCTGACATGTTCCAACCCCTCTGCGCATCTGAAGCTGCTTCCTTGCCCAACTCTCCAAGAAGGTCGCAGCGGCCCCAAACTCTCAAAACAACGCATTTGTCATGAGAGACACAAAATCCTGAAAGAAGTGATGGCACACTTCCACTACTAGCTGTTACCAGCTGTCGTGCTGTGTTCCGTTGGCGAGAGGTGGGATGGAGACACAAGAGCAGGCATAGAGTGCCGCCGGGGTTTCTCGCTTCCCACGCTCTGACCCTCCACACTTTGACCTCTGCAAGAAACCCACCGCCCCACGATTGAAGAAACTAGACGACAACCGAAGCACGAAGATTATGCCAACGCCCCGACGTTCGCCTGCTTTCGTGCCGACGCCCTTGGAGCCGCCTCCGGTGGACCGCACCTGGTGCTGCGGGGCTTTCCTGGAGCCCTCCCATCCCCGAAATGCACCTCCGGCAGTGGACTGCACCCGAGCCGGATCCGAGCTCCAGGCGTCAAGACTCCGGACAAGCTTGGCTTGGCCTCGACACCAAAAGGGTCACTACATTTCACTTCTGAGTGTTATGACTGTTATGAATGAGCCCACTGCCTGATTCAAACCACCGTCGCATGCATGCATGCATGTACATACGGTATGACATGCGGGAGATGCGGTTACGAAAGCCATGGAGCCCGTTCTTGTTTGACACGTAGTACTTGATTCATCTGCATCTCTTCGTGCTTTTCTGTGCGGTGTTCTTACCGTTCTTACTCAACCTCGGCTTGTTCGAGTCAAAATATTCTGCCTCATCTGCTTCAGACTTCACATGACTTGCGGTCCTCCTTCTACTCGTACTCCTATTCCTTTTCCTTCTCCTACCCCTACTCCTATTCCTGCTCCTCCGCCAACTACGCTTGCTCTGTCTACTACGACTGCTGTTGAGGCTCCGTGGATCCCCCGTCATTCTCCTAATCCCAATGTTGCTGCAGCACCGCCACCATTGGATCATCACTATTGCTTCCTCTTGCAATTTTGCTTTTGCTGTTGCTAGATTGCCCCGCCCCCCCCCCCCTCCCCCC